ATACATATCCACACACATGCACATCTTGATCTAAGAGTATGCCATTTTTCTCCTTGTTTTGACTTTACAATATATGCAATGCAAGTATGTTCTTATATGCATCCCTACCTGAGCTCCACATAAGCTTTTAGAAGTAGGCAAAAAGAAGGTAAAGCCATAATGCCTTGGTGAGGATCCAAAAATACTACATATACTAAGTGATTTGAGAGTACTACAAAAGGAGAAGCTAAGCTATGTTTTGTTTTCAAAAATCTTAAAAATATTCTCCAATTAACTTGACTGAAAGAAGATGGTGATCTATTTCAAGATGTTCCATTCTTCAGCCGCCCAAAGTTTCATGGTAGACACTTTGAATCCTACAGTGCATGCATGATTGGGAATGGTTTTATGTTGATAACTTGTCCTAAGGTTATGTCTTGCGGAATCCATCCTTTTATCAAGGACGAGGAAAAGCCTAAGTGTGGGGGAGTTTGTTTACGGTAATTAACATTCATCACAAACTGTCAATGTACCTTGCATAAATGACTAAAATGGATCACCAACATAGACTTAGTGTTTTTAGATGATAAAATTCCATGAGTTTTAGTGAATCTGTGTTTTGGGCAGGATTTAATCAGAAAACCAACAAGGAGGACCTATTCGTCAAAGGAAATCGCATAATTCCGAAGGATAAACAACGTGGGAAGACTCTAGAAGACTCCTGATGGCGAATCACCGAAGCAGAGCCCAAGCCACTGATAGGTGGGGCCGGTCGGTCCCACAAGTAGGCCGACCAGTCTGTGGGACCCACCTGGCCGCCCCTTGTTACGTCGGTTCTCCACCGCCTTAAGGATTGCATCTCCTCCGTTTATTCAAGTTAGTTTGATCCAAAGGCTCAGAATTGACGCTTTGGCCTATATATACCCGCCTGCACCCCCAGGGCATGCAAAGTTAGATCCTAAGAGCCTAAGGGCCAGAAACCCTAATCTATATGTCCACCAGGATCAGAGCTAGCAATCAAGAGAAGATTAGTCCTCGATAGGATCTAGTCTTGTATTAGAGATAGAGAGATAGAGTGAGAGGGAAGAGTTTCGGAGGAGTCCCGGCCTTGCGGTGCTCTCTCTACGGCTTGTACCCTGACGATATCAAGTTCTTCATGAGCTTGCTTTTGAGATTTCTCTGATAATCGATTTCTAATTCAAGTAAGCATCTTGTTCATATTCTTCTTTAGGTTTACGACACTCTTTTGAGTACTTTAATCCTTGTAGCTCCTGGGTTAAAGTTGTATTCGTAGTGTAAGCGTGGTGCTTAGACTCGGTTACTCATGGGTGTACCCTACTTTCTGAATAGGTGGTAGCTCGCGAGGGTGACTCTTGTAGCCTTGTTGAATACTTTGTAGTCGACCTCCCGTTAGTAGGCTTAGAAGGACCTAGTTGCTATAGGAAACATACTCTTCCTATGTTTTCTTTAGTAATATCCTCAGAATTGAACAATAGAAGCCAAATCTTACCGAAGTTAGAACTAGAAGACCTCTACTATTTCTTGTATGCTCCTATTATCTAGCCTTGATTGTGAAGTTGGTTTAAGATAGATTTGGTTATTCTCACACACGTTTCCTCGAGTTCGATATAAAACTAGGTTACTCTCAGTGAAGTGCTACATCGGTATAATATCCGTGCGCTTGGATTATTCTATGTGCGTTAATATATACCAATAATGCCCTGTCTCAGTTAATCCGTTAACGTTCAGGCAACCGCCTCCGTTAATGAATGGCTATAAATGCAGCGCCCAGCTACCACCCACCTTCTGCATTTTTTATGCGTCTTGAGCTTGAAAACCCCAAAAATTCACCACTCTTTAGGGGAGAAGTTTTGCTCTTGAATTTATTGAAGGAGGACAACACAGGAGGTTGCTACGCGCTCCGCATCCTTTTTCTCCTCTTTGTTTCAACATTTGAGTGATCTCCATGGAGTAGAGAGAAAACATATCTAGGTCTTGATAGGCTGCAATTTCTTTGTAACACTGCTATATTTATGTCTTATTCGTAGTGTCTGCATGGTTCGCTGGCATTGATAGGTCAAAATGGATGTATCAGACATCGAGGCTATCAACAGCCTACATGGGCCAATTAATAGAGGTGGGCATTTTAGGAGCCGCCTTTGTAATGATTTGGTGTCATAGGTAAGCTGTGGCCTCTATTAATCATTTATAGATGCGGATATGTTAAGGAGATGGCCACTGATAATCGACTATTTACATAGATGGTTGCCTCAGGACGTCGAACTTCTTAACATGCCCGTCCCTAAAAATGGATATTAACATCCTAGCATTCTAAGGTTACATAGAAATTGATTAACAGAGGTAGCATTCTTTAGAGACCCACCTCTCAAAATAGTTGCATCAAAAACAATTTATAACTTTTCTATATGAAGTTAGATGAACATGAACCTTATACCAAAACTGTAGAGATTGACGTAACTATAACTTTGCAGTTGATAAGTACTAATTTCACATAATTTTGAATTCAATTTTAAAATTTGTTGTTTGATCCTGGATGTTGACATGGTCTACACTGAAGTTTTAGTACTCAATGCAATGTGGCCTACAACTTTCTAGTGGCCAAATATGCGTTTGAAATTATTAGACTTTAAATTTTAAATTTTAAATTTTCCAAAGTGCCTTGAATGTTGACATGGTCAATATCAAATCTGTACTGGCCGATGAGATCTACACTTTTGTAGTTGATAATTTTTTTATTCGAAGTCGTTTAGAGTTTCAATTGGTTTTAAACTGTCATATTTTGAGATTCAAACTTTGAAATTTTTTCAACAATCTCGGATGGAGACACGCTGTATACCAAATTTGCAGTGCTTGAAAAGATCTAAAACTTTATAGTTCATTTTTTCATTTCAGATAATATAACGTTCAAAATATTAATACGAGATGATGAAAGGTTAATATAAAAGCAGCTTATCCTCACTCAGTAAAGGTGTCATGCGACACTAGAGGTCATGGGTTCAAATCCTAGAAAGCACCCTGTTTTGGTTTTTTAGAACTATTAAGAATTAACCGAGATGAGCATGTAAACATGCTAGGCTGTCAACTTATCCTCACCAGAGACAGACAGGCAACCGCCTCTATAAATGGCCTATTAACATAGATCATTTGACAGAGAAGGCCTACTCGTCTTTATAAATAAAAAATAACCATCTATGAAAACGCTTTAGTAGATATTTGTTTTTAAATTACATCATGAAATGTATGCGGATAGTACTTATGATATCTTGTTGATACATTTTTTTCTATAAACTTGTTTAAAGTTAAAAAAATTGACTTAGGACAACGGTAAGCACAGCTTCAATTGAACTGGCGGGGGTATGTAGTTAATGTGTTTGGCTACATTATGTGGATTTCAAGATTGTAATATTATATGTAGTTATAGCTTCCCCAGTTAGTGGTCGCAGCATTTTGTAAAACAGCATCCGCTGTTTGTATAATTGGTGCTATTAATTATATCACCAAGGGATCGGAACTTTTGGTAGAAAGATTTCGTTCCAGCAAAAAGAGACATGATCTGGTTCTGTTCCTGACGTTAGTCCCACTTCACACGCCTAGGTAAAAGGCATGGAAAAGATCAAATATTTTGGGAGCATTTGCCAATGGTTTTGAAAAGAAACTACGAATTAGGATCTATCGACATGCATGCATAATTTGATAACAGACTATTCTGCATTGGCAACGTTAGGGAAGGTTGTTACTCTACTAGTAGCGTAGTATATCTTGCTAATATACATGGCCTGTTCAGTTAGGCCAATGATAACTGCTAGGCATAGCTAAAAAAAGCCACCTAACTATTAGCTCACCCTAGAAATAAACTACTCCCTGTGTCCCTAAATAAATAGATTCCTAGAGCTGTCTTTAAGTGAAACTTTTTAAACTTTGACCGAATTTGTAGAAAAAAAAAATATCAAGATTTATAATATCAAACTAGTATCATTAGATGTACCATATAATATATTTTCATAATATGCTTACTTTATGTCATAAATGTTGTTACTCTTTTCTACAAACTTAGTTAAACATAAAAAAGTTCGACCGCACGGATCCTAGAAAGCTATTTTTTTAGCAGTTAACAATAATTAGCTCTTGTGTCAAACATATCCTAATAAACTAATAGCTACTAGTTGGAAACATTATTGATCATGATGCTCACTACACTACTATATTCCAAATGGACCCCCAACATTCGAAATTCCAAATGGAGCTTATACCATGTAATCTAACTTGGTGGTCGTAGCATTTCAAAAAAAATCGAGATGCGGTTCTATCGATTGCTCGTTTGTGCCTTGATCACTAGGCCGGTATGCCTTTTTGTTAAAAAAAGTCATATGAATTTTCACTACCACCAATATATTAATGATATATATGCTGCGGGTCCAGCCCTGACGTTTCGGCATAACATACCAAGGTAATAAAGTGACAATAGCGCTTTTTTTATAAAAAAGGTTCTGTTGTGAAGGACCCCCCACACCACCCTAAGCAAAAACCATGATGCGCCACTAAGGTAAATGACATGCGCAGTGATGTCACTTTGTGATACTTTCTTGGGAGCAGATTCTTCCATTCATGTGCACGCAAATCTAGATTTGTTGTAATTTGGGGGGCGTTGGGTTGTGGACAAAAGCTCAAAAGGTAAATTGAAGTGTCCTCCTTTCCCCGGCACCTTTATCTCCTATAACTAAAAAGAAAAAAAATAAGACCACCGTTCCATGCGACAATCGTCGCTCCGTCGGTCTGCCCCTCCCTTGCGATACCACGCGTCATAATCCTCCCCCCGCCGCCAGCGCCATTATAGCCGGGCACGCCCGGAATCCGCGGCGCGCCCCCACCTTCGGTTCTCTCTCCCGAGACAAAGCGCTGGACCCCCACGCCGCCCCAGCCTCCTCCCTCCGCACCGCACCGTCCGTCTAGCGTCCCCCTCTACCGGAGCCCACGGAGCGGAGGCGGGCTCGCAGGCGGCCATGGACGTCGATTGCGTCTCGCTGCCCGCCGCCGCCGCCGCCGCCGCCGCTGCAGCCACCCGGCCCTGGCCCAAGGCCGCCGCCAACGGCGGCGTCCACGAGCTGCTCGAGTGCCCCGTCTGCACCAACTCCATGTTCCCGCCGATCCACCAAGTGCCCCCACGCTCGCCTCTCCTTATTCTTGGTTCCCTTCATTGATTGATCCATTTGCCCCAGCTGCCTGCTCTGCTTGGATGGATCGATTGTCTTCTTTGATTTCGAATGGGGAATTCCCCTTCGCCTATAGTAGTAGCATAATGCATGGGGATTTGACTTTAGGAGATGGTAATTTCAACGGCCATCGTCCTCCATTCCTCCGGCACAAAATTCGTCGAATTAACTCAACAATCAGCTGTATTTGTGCTGCTATCATTTAGCAAATTTTTAGCACTCCCAACATGCTAGCTACGTCTCAGCCTAAAAACACACGGACATGAACAAGAAAACTCAACTTTCTGATGACAGTGCGTTGGGTTAACCGTTTAGTTTGCACAGAAATAGAGTTCAAGAGAAGTTATTTAGCAGGTCACGACTCACGGCTGCTAAATTGTCCTGGGATTTTTGCCCCCTGAGTCCTAACTCCTAACATTCAGAAGTTTGGTGCCCTACAACCTTGTTTTGATTTGATTTGTGGTTGTCACTTGTCACCTCTGTGCAAGTTGCAACCTTTCGTTATCGTGTTCTATTTCTAGCTCCAATATCCTTTGCTGAGCAGATTGTCAATGAATTGATTGTCTGGGTGGAGGATGCATAATTGATGGTGGCCCAATCAACCTCTCTTCTATAGTTATGTGAATGCTGCAGTAGTACAAGTAGAGCAATTCTGGCATCGGGCCGGGCTGGCAGTGCCACTAACTCATATTGCACTTTGCACAGCATGGAGCGCACTGAAGCAAAGTTTTGTGATGCATATGAAATATTAGCGAAGTAAACAGAATATGCTAATAAGAATATGTTGGCTGTGAGTGGAGACATGATTGAAGAAGATAAGTTATACAGTTTATGGCTGTATGCTTTCAAGGGAATTTTATTGTGAATATGCACTACTAGAGACCAGACTTTAGAACGATATCCCAATTTGGCATTAGTCTCGGCATTTTTTGCCCCCGGGACTAAAGGTTCCTTTAGTCCCGGTTGGTAATACCAACCGGGACTAAATGTTCCTTTACTCCCGGTTGGAACCACCAACCGGGACTAAAAGTCCTCCAACCTTTAGTCCCGGTTGGTAATACCAACCGGGACTAAAGGTAGACCCTTTAGTCCCGGTTAGTAACACCAACCCGGACTAAAGGACCCTTTAGTCCCGGTTGGTATGGGTTAGTTCAAAAGGAAAGCATCCCATCCATTGTTAGATGTGTTGTGTAGGTGGGGTGGTAAGCTCGCGCAAGGCAGTGCATGAGGTCTTGGGTTCGAATCTCATAGGGCGCAGCGGTGGGAGGCATTATTTTTTTTAAGCTGAGAGGATCTTTAGTCCCGGTTGTGGCAAACCGGGACTAAAGAACACCACCTTTAGTCTCGGAACGCTAGTCTCGGTTGGGAAACCAGGACTAAAACCAGTTCCCAACCGGGACTAGATGTCAGTTCTATAGCAGTGATGTCACCTTCCTTGTTAACGTATACGGCGCTTGGTTCCAATAGCCTGCAATTGACACTCTAAGAGACTATGTAAAGTGAAAAAAGAGAGATTATTTAATGTTTAAAGCTTTCTGTTTTCATATGTTGTTCTCATATACTTATTGCATTTGGCATTCGGATATTGATCTCAAATACTTGATTGCATTTGCAGTGCCAAAACGGGCATACGTTGTGTTCCACATGCAAGGCTAGAGTGCACAACCGTTGCCCTACCTGTAGACAAGAGCTTGGAGATATCAGGTGTTTGGCACTGGAGAAAGTAGCGGAGTCACTTGAGCTTCCCTGCAAGTACTACTCTTTGGGGTGCCCAGAAATCTTCCCATACTACAGCAAGATAAAACACGAAGCGCAATGCAGCTTAAGACCATACAATTGCCCCTATGCTGGTTCTGAATGTGCCGCAGCTGGTGACATCCCTTATCTTGTTTCCCATTTGAGGGATGATCACAAAGTTGATATGCATAGCGGCTGCACATTCAACCACAGATATGTCAAATCGAACCCACGAGAAGTTGAAAACGCCACCTAGATGCTAACGGTAGGTACCTATAGTAGGCTTGTTCTCTCATGGTAAATAAATATTCTCGTCGTAGGATTAGCACAGAATAAAATAATAAACTACGAATTTGATTTGGTAAATATTCTGAGCAGGTGTTTCACTGCTTCGGGCGGTACTGCTGCCTGCACTTTGAGGCGTTCCAGCTTGGGATGGCACCTATATACATGGCCTTCCTCCATTTCATGGGGGACGAGAATGAGGCGAAGAACTACAGCTACAGCCTCGAGGTCGGCGCCAACGGGAGGAATATGGTCTGGGAGGGCACCCCCAGGAGCGTCCGCGACAGCCACCGGAAGGTGCGGGACAGCCACGACGTCCTCATCATCCAGAGGAACATGGCGCTGTTCTTCTCCGGTGGCAATCGGAAGGAGCTGAAGCTCAGGATCACTGGCTGGATCTGGAAAGAGCAGCAGACCCCAGATGGCGCCTGTATTCCCAATCTGTGTAGCTAAGTGATTCGAATCTTCAAAGGAAATGGTGCTGGTTTTGGTTGGATATGGTGCATACAATCCTGCTGCCATACCTCGCTGTTTTTCTGATCGTGATCGGGGGGCAAATCTCTCGTGTTGTGTCTTGGCTGAAAAGGATACTAGGAGGATAGGAAAGCCATCAAGACTGCATTCTTCATAGGAAAGTGTTTGTAAGGTGACTCATTGTGAACCAAGTTCTACCACCAAAACTCCATAAGAGGGTTCAAACTAACTTCACCAACATCTCATCCATGGAATCGTAAGCAATTAATTTTCATTTAATTATCGGTAATCATGTCATGTTTAATTTGGTTTGAAATTTGGTACTTTATTCCTCATGTATCCTGGTCATTTCCTTTATCAGTAACCTAGGGTACCTTGTTTGGTTTACCAATATTAGATGTTGTATATACATACAACATCTAATCTAGGTAAGTCTATTTCCTGTGCAATGTTGGTCTAGGGACCTTTGTTCCTTACGCACATCTGATACTGAAAGCCATTCGATAGGGGGTTCCTATATCTATTTGCAGAGTGAATCTAATGGCCCTAACTTGTTAGACGAACCTTTAAAAGGCTTCATAGTGAACCCTACCGACCTTCCTTAGAAGTGGGTCAAGAGATTAGCTACCTCGAGCGAATGGGTAAATCACGACTCACAGTGAAAGTGTACAACCTCTACAGAGTGTAAAACTGGTATATCAGCCGTGCTCACGGTCACGAGTGGCCTTGGACCCTTACGGAATAGATGATGAACACTGATGATACTGATGATAAAGATGCTTACTAATGATTACTGTTTATGCTATTCAATATTCATGTTTACCTGACCATGTGTTTATGGCTTGTGATAAACTTGTTGCTACTCAATTGCTAAAAGCATGACTCATTAAAAGCTAATTGCAGTTAAACCAGTGTCAGTCTTTTGAGTCTCATGAACCTCATGTTATATTTGTTTAGTATGACATGTACTTACGCTTGCTTTACTTTTCAAATATTTGGATAAAAATCCCAGATGGGTACTAGATTGCTAGAGTTTGAACGAGTTAGGCTTGTGATCAACCAATCAGTTGTCCATGTGGAATTGGAGTCTTCATCCGAAGATCGGAGTTGTCTTTCCGCTATTTGCTATCTAAGGTTATGTCCTTTATACTAAGTATGTTATATATTAAGCATTGTCTATTGATATTACCCATATTTGTAGCTATATGTGAGATTTGACTTCCTAGGCTCACATATGGTGCGTATCTAGTTTTGTTCTTAAAACCGGGTGCTATAGGAACTTATTATTAGGGACCCCATGACACTTAAGTTGTTGTGGAATGAGATATAGTAGAATAATGAGAACTTGATTCTTGATGTCTTGATGTTGGAGAATTTTATTTCAAAAAGTTTAACGAATAGCTACACCTCTCCTTTGTGGTAAGCAATATCCCACCAGAGCCAAATATGATATATAGACTAGGAAACCTCCTACATATATTACTTGTCATTGTATTGAGTTTGGTCAAACCTTGTGACCCTTGTTGAGAAATTTATCATGCTCTCAAGATCAAGATCACGTACACTCCACATTTATGTGCTGCTCCTACACTGGGAGTACGCAATACATGTTTTCCATTCACCCAAAAATGTTCTACTTCAACACTGGGGATAGACATAAAAATAAGTTTGTTAGGATAAATGCTCCAAGTTCTTGTGTATGTCTCTCTTGAAAAGTTTCAATTGCAGAAAAAGAGACATTGGCTATGCAAGAGTTGTTCAGAAAAAGAAAGTATTAAAAAAATGGACAAGTGTCCGAGATATCTAAAATAATGGGTACTTAGATGCCCGCCTGAAAAAAAAGAGAAGAGAAAAGAGATGAATAAGATATCTCATGTTTTCTTGCAAAGTATTTTCAAAGTTTCAAACAAGAGAGATGTTTCAAGGAGCATAGTAGAATTAGGATAGCCACCATATACATATCCACACACAAGCACATCTTGATCTAAGAGTATGCCATTTTTCTCCTTGTTTTGACTTTACAATATATGCAATGCAAGTATATTCTCATATTTATCCCTACCTGAGCTCCACATAAGCTTTAGAAGTAGGCAAAAAGAAGGTAAAGCCGTAATGCCTTGGTGAGGATCCAAAAATACTACATATACTAAGTGATTTGAGAGTACTACAAAAGGAGAAGCTAAGCTATGTTTTGTTTTCAAAAATCTTAAAATATTTCTCCAATTACCTTGACCGAAAGAAGATGGTGATCTATTTCAAAATGTTCCATTCTTCAACCGCCCAAAGTTTCATGGTAGACACTTTGAATACTACAGTGCATGCATGACTAGGAATGGTTTTATGTTGATAACTTGTCCTAAGATTATGTCTTGCGGAATCCATCCTTTTATCAAGGACGAGTAAAAGCCTAAGTGTGGGGGAGTTTGTTGATGGTAATTAACATTCATCACAAACCGTCAATGTATCTTGCATAAATGACTAAAATGAATCACCAACATAGACTTAGGGTTTTTAGCTAACAAAATTCCACGAGTTTTGGTGAATCTGTGTTTCCAACAGGATTTAAACAGAAAACCACCAAGGAGGACTTATTCGTCAAAGAAAATCGCATAGTTCCGCAGGATAAACAACGTGGGAAGACTCTAGAAGACTCCAGAAGGCGAATCACCTAAGCAGAGCCCAAGCCACTAACAGGTGGGGCCGATCAATCCCACAAGCAGGCCGGCTGGCCTGTGGGACCCACCTGGCAGCCCCTCGTTGTTATGTCGGTTCTCCACCGCCTTAGGGATTGCAGCTCCTCCGTTTATTCAAGTCGGTTTGATCCAAAGGCTCAGGAATGACGCTTCGGCCTATATATACCTGCCTGCAGCCCCCCAGGGCATGCAAAGTTAGATCCTGAGAGCCTGAGGGCCAGAAACCCTAATCTATATTTCCACCAGGATCAGAGCTAGCAATCAAGAGAAGATTAGTCCTCGATGGGATCTAGTCTTGTATTAGAGATAGAGAGATAGACTAAGAGGGAAGAGTTTCGGAGGAGTCCCGGCCTATCGGTGCTCTCTCTATGGCTTGTACCGTGACGAAATCAAGTTCTTCATGAGCTTGCTTCTGAGATTTCTCTAATAATCGATTTCTAATTCAAATAAGCATCTTGTTTATATTGTTCTTCAGGTTTACGATCCTCTTTTGAGTACTTTAATCCTTGTAGCTCCTAGGATAAAGTAGTATTCGTAGTGTAAGCGTGGTGCTTAGACTCGGTTACTCATGGGTGTACCCTACTTTGTGGATCGGTGGTAGCTTGCGAGGGTGACTCTTATAGCCTTGTTGAATACTTTGTAGTCCACCTCCCGTTAGTAGGCTTAGCAGGTACTTGTTGCTATAGGAAACATACTCTGCCTATGTTTTCTTTAGTAATATCCCCAGAATTGAACAATAGAAGAGAAATCTTACCGAAGTTAGAACTAGAAGACCTCTACGATTTCCTCTATGCTCCTATTATCTAGCCTTGATTGTGAAGTTGGGTTAAGATAGATTTGGTTATTCTCACACACGTTTCCTCGAGTTCGATATAAAACTTGGTTACTCTCGGTGAAGTGCTACATCTGTATAATATCCGTGCGCTTGCGGATTATTCTATGTGCGTTAATATATACCAATAATGCCCTGTCTCAGTTAATCCATTAACATTCAGGCGACCGCCTCCATTAATGAATGGCTATAAACGCAGCGCCCAGCTACCTCCCACCTTCTGCATTTTTGATGCGTCTTGAGCTTGAAAACCCCGAAAATTCACCACTCTTTAGGGGAGAAGTTTTGCTCTTGGATTCATTGAAGGAGGACAACACAGGAGGTTGCTACGCGCTCCCCATCCTTTTTCTCCTCTTTTTTTCAACATTTGGGTGATCTTCATGGAGTAGAGAGAAAACAGATCTAGGACTTGATCGGCTGCAATTTCTTTGTAACACTGCTATATTTATGTCTTATTCGTTGTGTCTGCATGGTTCGCTGGCATTGATAGGTCAAAATGGATGTATCGGACATCAAGGCTATCAACGGCCTACATGGGCCAATTAATAGAGGTGGGCATTTTAGGAGCCGCCTTTGTAATGATTTGGTGTCATAGGTAAGCTGTGGCCTCTATTAATCATTTATAGATGCGGATATGTTAAGGAGATGGCCACTGATAATCGACTATTTGCATAGATGGTTGCCTCAGGACGTCGAACTTCTTAACATGCCCGTCCCTAAAAATGGATATTAACATCCTAGCATTCTAAGGTTACATAGAAATTGATTAACAGAGGTAGCATTCTTTAGAGACCCACCTCTCAAAATAGTTGCATCAAAAACAATTTATAACTTTTCTATATGAAGTTAGATGAACATGAACCTTATACCAAAACTGTAGAGATTGACGTAACTATAACTTTGCAGTTGATAAGTACTAATTTCACATAATTTTGAATTCAATTTTAAAATTTGTTGTTTGATCCTGGATGTTGACATGGTCTACACTGAAGTTTTAGTACTCAATGCAATGTGGCCTACAACTTTCTAGTGGCCAAATATGCGTTTGAAATTATTAGACATGGTCAATATCAAATCTGTACTGGCCGATGAGATCTACACTTTTGTAGTTGATAATTTTTTTATTCGAAGTCGTTTAGAGTTTCAATTGGTTTTAAACTGTCATATTTTGAGATTTAAACTTTGAAATTTTTTCAACAATCTCGGATGGAGACACGCTGTATACCAAATTTGCAGTGCTTGAAAAGATCTAAAACTTTATAGTTCATTTTTTCATTTCAGATAATATAACGTTCAAAATATTAATACGAGATGATGAAAGGTTAATATAAAAGCAGCTTATCCTCACTCAGTAAAGGTGTCATGCGACACTAGTGGTCATGGGTTCAAATCCTAGAAAGCACCCTGTTTTGGTTTTTTAGAACTATTAAGAATTAACCGAGATGAGCAACTAA